ATGGGACCCGTCGTACTCGAACGCGCGGTAACTCGCGGCTGTTGTGGCGCGGCGACGAATCGTTCGGGAGAAATGGCCGGAACGTGTACCGTCGACCGGCGCGGTACCGCCTCGTTACAACGCGGCCGTACCGACGAAAACGTAAAAGCTTTTCCGCGCCGGAATCGAATGTGCGAAGAAAATAAAAAAAAAAAAAATGCTTTCCCGTCGTTTTGACGACGTATATTCGACGTGCGCGTTTCGTTCCTATCGACTGTGTGTACCCAACGGTTTTCGATTACTAACGTGATATTTGTTGTTCGCGACCTATTTGAAATCAATCGAAACGCAAATATTTACTACGAGGTTTGTGACGATTTGTGGTTTTTTTTCATCTCCAGAATTTACCGTTAAGATCTAATCCCGCTCTAATAATATAACTTTTGATAAACGACTGCGAGATTGTCTGTAGAACTATTATTTATCGAAACACCGCGGTCGGATATTCGATTAGGTACCATTAACACGTCAATACGAGTGTTCTGCGCGTTTGGAATTATAATCTTATCTAGTGGTAATTTATGTAAAGTACACGCATATTATCATCTTGTACATCCGGACGTCCGAAAAAAAAAAAACATTCCAATTAGTGCATTCATAATTATAATAATCGTCTTTATCGCCGTTACTGCACTAATTCGAACACGTATTCAGTGCAATAACTAAGAGATACTATAAGATAGGTGAGAATGTAGAATTCGATTTTACCCGTACGCGTGACAACTGACGGATATTATAATTTTATGACACTAAACTTATTTCATCAGATTCATATTGTCATGTTGATTTTATCGATAAGTACATTATATGCATGATAAATGTATTACATATAAATAATATTACAAACCTCGAACGTTGTATTTTTTCTTAACTTTTTACATTAGTTATTTCTTGAGATGTTCGAGAATGGAATAACTAGAGCATCCATTTGTTATGTACTACACAATATTGTCAGCGGTAAGGTTACAAATGATTTTTAGATTAATCATTTTTTTCTAATTTTTTTTTTTCTCGTATACAACGATGCAGTTGATTTAAATGATACGAACGAACATTTACTAATTTTGGTCTCATTAAAATAGTTAAATAGAGTGCATACTCCACAATGTAAACATAAAAGAAACGACCTTTTAAAATTTAAATCAACCTCTTGATTTTTTTTTCTTTAAATAATCACAATTAGAAGTCTGTTTTGAACTCGGTACGGCGGTGATTGCTATACAAATGAGTTACAAATATTAGTATGTATCACGCGATAAAGGTGTTTTATGTGGTATTAGAAACAGCTCAACACGGGCGCCTAAATAATTTGAATTATTTATTATTATTCGTCGAAAGAAAAATCGCTAAACGGAACGAGTACAATACAATAATACATCAGAGTTTTTATTAACTTACTGAAGCGATACGTAGTTATTTTAATGTAAAATGTATCATATTTTCGAGTTATCACGTTAAATCGTTCGGACTGTAATACATCGTGCTATGCAAGAGTACGCGAAAATAAATTGGCAAATGCAATCGAAATAAATCTTCGGGCGCCGCCGTCGTAGCTGCTGTAAAACGTTCGTAAGTGAACCTTTGTCAGCACGTCATTAGGATGTGAACTGTACATATGTACAAGGAAACAATAATAATTACACAATGCTTATCGTACTTCTCGTATTCGATGGTGTGATATTTCCGACGAACGTCTACAGTGAACAATCGCACCTAATACGTCCGATTGACTATGATGCCTCGATGTACATGGCGTGTTATAAAAATATTATGGGAAAACGTTGTAAACATGATCCGTGACTGCATTATGATGCAGCTGAACGCACAGAAATTTCGGTACTCGGCTGCCGTGTAAACGATCAAGTTCTGTGCGGGGCTGGATCGACGAATCTCGGTTTTATCCTCAACCATCCGCGCGCTACCGGTTATCGGAATCGATTGGAAAACTTTTGACGGCGTTCTTGACCGTCCGTATCCCGCAGTGATTAGAGATAGATGTTGATTGCACCACGTCGCGTTAAAAAACAACCTTTGGGATCCGCTGTTTTTACCGACGGAGAATAAAGTAACGATGGTACCAGAACGACAAAATATCGCACTGCTCGTTTCACCATTCGAAATCCGTAGTCGAGATATCGATAGGTACACAATACGTAGCAAGAATCAGCTGGAGTTGGCGAACGTTTCTCCGGCATTACTTTGTGGTAATAATATAATGTGTACAAGCATTCAGCGATGATACTACGCGTACGAACCCGTTGCATGCGCATACAACGTGTACGGAGTTCGATATTATTCGGATCATTTTTAACATAGGCATGTCGTTCATGCATTGACTAGAAAACTTCCGTGCGACCCGCGTTGACCGTTGAACACACGCAACGAACCGTACACCGTTATTGCTATACGTACTATAGCGCATTATTTCTCATTAATTTTTTTTTTTTTTTTTTAATAATCATTCACCCGCGTTCGTTAACACAAATTGTTGAGTAAATATACGATGGTAATAATAATTGAACGTAATATGTTGTAACGCATCGATTATACATTGTACACGTATCACGATCGACTGTTAATCAAATAACGCAACAATAATATTGTACCGTTATAATACGCTGTAATCGCAGTTGTTTTTCGGTAGAGGTCGAGTGTAATGCGCTACATTGGAATCCGGGCAAGACCGTTGGTGTTATCTGCCAATGTAATCAATTGTTACTTTCCGAATTTATTAAAACGGAATGGTCCGTAATTATTGTAGAACGGACGGACGATGTGAACTTCGCAGCCGCCGGAAGACACCTATCATTACACGGTACCTACGCGGATGTGAAAGAATAAGAATTTGAAAAAAATCGATTATCACCTCGTTCATTTCTCGGCCGCCAGAGCTGATGGAACACAACATCCGAAATGCAATATGAAAAAATAACGTTAAACACATTATTCGTCCGGCGGAGGCGGATGGAAATAAATATCACGTACATATAATATTGCGACGAATAAATATGCGGCAGAGGAGAGAGTCTGGTAAAGTCTGCGCTCTAAAATAAAACGGACCCGACGATACGCGTCAACGGTTAATTTGTCGGATTATTATTGTCATCGTCGTCGTTTTCGTCATCGAAATGTCTGTCCGCGGGGTAAAAACTCGTTGGATGTGTTATGACGTTTTCGAATATAAAAAAAAAAAAAATTACAGCAATAATAATAATTAATACGCGCCCACTCGACGACGACGACGACGACGACGACGACGACGTCATTACCGACGTGTCTGGTACCGTCGTCGGTGGATCTGTCACCCGTTTTAGACGCGTCGTCTGCGTGACAACCGAATCCCGTCGACGCGGTCGGCAGCCGTGAAAAACAAAAACAAAAATCTCGAACCGCGATCGGTGCCCAACAGATCTTCGTCTTCGTTCTCAGACGACGGATGTGTACGATTACGCAGCGTTTTTCGTTTGCCTGTTTATAAGAATATCACCGTGACGACGTGTACGACGCGTTCGCGCGCGCGTAGTGACGTGCACTCGTGCGACGATCGACAGCGAACGATCTCGATCATCGATCGCGGGCGACTTCCGTCCACGACAATGCGACGCCACTCCGCTGCGCAGTAATCTTTAGCCGGTTTTCACGTGATTTATCGAATCGCTTCCCGCCGAGGGTCTACCGTCGTGGCCGTATTTTTACTATGATTTTTTTTTTTTTTCCTTCCTGGCAACCTCCGAACGCGCGCGTGTCATATCGTCATAATACACGTCGTCGCGCGCTCATGTGTACAGCACGGATAGCAGAAGCGAAAAAAAAAAGAAGCCAAAGAAGACAGGCACCATGCCCGTGTCGTGTAAATACACGAAATTTGTCTCGGAATGTCTGAACCCGAAAGCCCCCACGTCCGCTGATTCCGGCATACAGTCAGACTGCGTGAAACGAGGGGATTAAACGTTTTCGAGTCACGTGTGCAACGTGTACGGCACGCCTACGCAGACATTGATATCGTGAAAAATCGTAACAGACCCGAAACGATAATAGTTAACTCGAGCGACAGTCGTCGCGGTTTTTCAATTTCTGCCGATCCGCCGAGGTCGAAACCTACGGTTTTACCGTGGCACGCGATAAAATCGCGCGTGTAATTACGTATGCGCGTGCACATTATTATATTCCGTCGGGACGAGCGTGAAACCCGCGGTACACGACGCAATAACGCATTAAATACGTCGTCGAAGGACTTCTGACGCATACGCGCAATGTTACGCGTAATAATAATAATACGTATATTTCATGTGATATCTGTATAACTACGATGTCACAGGCGTTGAAAAACTGATCGTTAGACCGTTTAACAGGTTGTCTAATTACGAGAGATTTATAACCGCGCGCTCGTGCGCTCCCGAGAAAAATAGAAACATAGCCCCTCGGCCGTAGCGCGATTCTTTCACGAGTACGCATTGTGCGTAGTGCTCATAATACAACGAGAACTGTGTTCTAGGTGTCCAACCGTCGACCACCAGTCAATTACACCGTATTGTTTGCGCGCACAATGTACGTCACGTACGTCAAATACGTGTGTATTATTATGTCGTCAAACGTCCTACGAAAGCTAGTCTGTATCGTGTACAAATATTAAATACCTTGCTACGCCTCGGAAGCTCGGAAATTTTAAAAACGCACTAAACATACCGCTCGAAACGATTAAAATACGTTGCGCCCGCGCAAATATCGCGTCCACTCCAAATCCCTTGCCGAAAAACCATTTCGCATGAAAGCCGTTTTCGTACAGGGAGGGTCGTCACCGGCGCGCGAGCACCTCATCCCGTCCGCGGTTCAACACGTTTTTACCGTCCGAACGTTTCCATCGCGCCAACCGTATGCACGGATCTTTAAACGCGTCGTAACCCATTTTTATGTTTTATCATAATTTTTTTTTAAATTAATTTTCGTTTTTTTCGCTACAGGTACGGTGAACGCGAACGGCGAGACGAAACGGCAGCGCACGTCGTACACCCGTTACCAGACGCTGGAGCTGGAGAAGGAATTCCATTTCAACCGGTACCTGACCCGTCGGCGGAGGATCGAGATAGCGCACGCGCTGTGCCTGACCGAGCGCCAGATAAAGATATGGTTCCAGAACCGGCGGATGAAGTGGAAAAAGGAGCACAAGATGGCCAGCATGAACATGGTGCCGTACCACTACCACATGGCCGCCCAGCCGTACGGCACCCCGTACCCGTTCACGCACCTGACCACCTGAGATTCGTATTATTAATTTAACGGTACCGTTTGAGGCGCCCGAGCCCGGCCGCCTCTCGAAATCGCGCGCGCGACGCGATAACACTTATGGTAAGCCAACCGTTAAATTAATAATACGAAACAATCGCACAACAACAACAAAAACTAAAACAACAACAACAACAACAACAACAACAACAACAGCAACGCGTGCAACGATACACGCGTCCAACGCGCAACGACGCGCACGTGCATTATTTATCACAATAATTGTACGCGCACGCGACGCGGCGGTTTTACCGCGCGTAACGCCGTCGCGGACCGACGCGCGCGCGTACCTCCGTGCGCGTTCGCGACATCGGAAACGGGTACGCGGGTCCGCTGCTGACGTTCTTACCGGGCGTCCGCGATATTGTAATGTGTACGAACGTTATCCGCGTACGTGCATAACGTTTCATTGTTTTACCTACACGTACCTGCCGTACAACGACGATATTATTTTCGTGTGCATAGCAATGTATAAAGTGTACATACAAGTATATTATTATGATTATTATTATTATTATTATTATTATATAAAAACAAGCATGTATTTTTATTCGTCAACGTCGCGATTTTCGTTTCGTTTTGTTCGTGATGTTTGATTTTGTCTCACTTATTTGTATCGCATCGAACGTAATAGTATTAATGTTCTTTCATACACACACACACACACACACACACACAGATGAATATTTATCATATTATACGCTCGTGTGATGTGTATATTATTTTATATCGCAATGTGTGCAATAATGGTTTATATAAAGTGTGTGTATATATATATATATATATATATATACGTATATCTACGTCGGACGAGAAAAACAAAAAAAAAAAAACAAATAAAAATAACACTTTTCCGTTTGTTTTTCGTCGGCACGCAAAAGTCGGAAACCGAACGTTTCCTTCGCCCACCCGTGGCTTTTCGATCGCGCGCAAATCCGGACCACTACGACGACGGTTGCTGCCAGTTGCAGTTTTAATAATAATAATAATAATAACAATCATAATAATAATAATAATAATGTAATAATAAAAGTGTTTCCGAAGATTAGAACCCGAAAACGGACATCCGGTACGCAGTCCGGTACGCGGTACGTTTCGAACGCCGTCGTCCGCGCGGTCCGCGGCGGAAATCGACCGCTTGTCCCGTCGTCCGCGTCATTCCCTTGGCCGCAACGGTCTAGGCCCGGCCGTCGAGGGCTGCAGTGCACCGGTGGCGGCCCTTGAACGGGACCGCGCGGGCATCGCGAACCGCGTTCACAAACAGCGCCCCTTCGCCGCGTGGACGCGCGTTCGCGCCGCTCGACCGGGGGCGACGCGTTTACGCGCCGGACGGACGCGGCGAAAACGAATCGCGTTGAAACCGCGTGCCGGCCACGCGTACTCGATGTGTTCGCGACGCGTTCGAATTTGTTTACCGACGCGCGTTTCGTCTCGCGTAGCAAACGGAACGTGTAAATAATAAACTATCGTATACACACATCGTATTGTTAAACAATATACATATATATGTATACTCTAATAGGGAAAGTTAATGTATAAATATATTTATATATGTATACTTATAAACGCGTTATACGTGTTGTATTGCGCTGTAAATATTTTCTGTACATGTGTTAACCCAGAGTCTGTGATTTTTCTTTATTTTATTATTATTATTTTTATTGTCATCATCATCATTATTATTATGTTTTAGTTTTCGAGAACACGATATTTAAACATTAAAATACCCAGTTATTTTATTTTTTAAAATATCGTTTTCTTATTTTATTGTTTTTTTTTTTTTTTTT